TATGCTGTTGAAGTACCCAATTGTTCCTGGAACATCCTGATAGCATCCTGTGTAGGTGGGAGCTCAGAGAGAAAACAATGTCTCTGCCTTGCCTCTGAAGTTCTGCCCCAGAAGAAGCTGTCTTCTGGCACTTCCCCTGTTGCCAGTCACTTTATTTTCTCCCCTTATGACACTGGAACCTGTTGGGAACTGCCCTGCCTGGTATCAGAAGCTGTAACCCCCACCAAGGCTAAGGCTGAGGGAGTGGCCTTGGACTGTAAGCCAGCAAGGAGACAAAAGCTTATCTCCCTGGCAGGAGTGCTGCTTCTGCTGCTTCATTCATAACTGAACCCCAAAGCTTGGTTGGTTAGCCAAAGACGGGTAAGATTCCCCAAGGGGGGAACGACCTAAGACAGGCACAATCACATGGGAGGCCCCCAAGAAAGGACTTTGGAGGCTACAGCAAAAGGGGGTGATGGACCCTCGCTCCTCGGCTTTGACTAGCCTGAGTCCTCATCTCAGGGAGAAAATCTCCTTATCTCTTGGTTGCCTTAGTTCCCTTGCTCCACCTAAGCCTGAAACAATGACAGGGTGGTGCAGCTCTGTCCTGAAAAGGGCGGGTTCCCCAGGTGATCAGGCCTAAGAAAGAATATGTAAGATCCTTTGAAACCTGCTTTGTTTAGAATGCTCTCAGTTGAATGATAAGGGTCCAAGGAAGAAGTAAATTTGTTCCTCAAAGTTTTACAGCTCTTTGATCCTGACTCAAAACAGGCCCTCAGACTTCTTGTTATCTATTGTTTGATCCTTACTTCCTAGCAATGAGTAATGAGCTTTTACCTGAATTCTTATTTCAAACGAAACCAATAAAAAGCCTCTCCAGAGGGGGAACGGCGCACTCACCCCACCAGGGAGAATGGCCAAGTGGCGCGTTCCCCACATGAGGAGTGGCCATGGTGCCCTCCAGGAGAGAGGGTGGCCAAGGCACTCCCCATGTGAGGAGTGGCCCTGCTGTTCCTATTCCCCCACAGGACCTGGTTGTCTCTGTGTATGTTTTTCTTGAGTTTCGACGAGCCATCTGCAGCATTCTGTGATCACTGTTGGCTGGTAACCCACACATCAGGAACCCAACCAACTATTGCCCTGTTGCTGAATCCCGGAGGGGTGAGTCTGCATGACTCCTACATCTATTGTGGACATTTTAAGAAAGGATTCTTGAGAAACCCACAGTTTCTTCTGCTTCCCCAACCTCCCTTGGTTTTTACAATCAAAAGTTATGGGAACTTATCTTTCTGGTACTTGAAACTTGGGCTGGGTGGTCTGGTCTGGGGCTGGGATCCCTCATTCCCAAGTTATCCCTCCCAATTTTTATCCACCACATGTGATCACTTGGGATTGGGATCACTCATTCCATATCTCCGTGCCTCTCCACAAGTCTCTCATCTCCACCCTTCCTACCCATCTAGATGAATGTGGCTTCATTAAATCCTTGGTCGTTGGATTTCCATACAACTCAATTTTCTGACAATTCTGGACGATATTCTTTTTGTAGTCTAGTTGTAATTTTTGCTGTAGTTGTGTGAGGAGTCATGGTGTGTTTACATATGCCTGCATCTTGACCAGATATAAAAATACAAATTCTGGGACTCAAAAGAGTATATAAATTGGATTACGCTTAAATACTGTTTTACAAAAGACTGATCCTCACATCCACCCCCTATTCTCAACTAAATAGCAATGTCTGAATTTCATTCAGTTTCTGCAGAGACTGTCAGTCTGAAACAAATTAGGACAATGAAGCTGAAGATACAATTCTTCAGGAAAGACCTTTCCCAGGATGTGGTGCATGCATTTGTGAGAGCACTACTCCCATAACACAGTGTGCTCAGTGGGGTCTCTTCCATTGAAATCAGAATTTAGATCAGGAAAATCTGTGAAATAACAGCATATTTGTTCTCTCAAGACAAAGAGATTTTATTCTGATGGATAGATATCTTGCTTGTTTAACTTGAACATTTTTTGAGCTCTATATTTAGTCCCCAGACTTCTCTATTTATACCTGCACTATCCAATACAATAGCCAGCACCCACATGTGGCTATTGACTACTTGAAATGGGACCAGTCCTTTTGGAAAAGTGCTGTAAGCATAAAAATCACAGAATGTATCTCATGAATAATGTTTATGTTGATTATATATATAGAAATCACACTATTTTGCTTAATTTGGATCAGATAAAGTATATTATTAAAATTAACTTTACCATTGCTTTTTAACTTTATTAATGTGGCTACTAGAATATTTTAAATTATGCATGTGGTTCAAATTTGTGGCTCACATTATATCTCTATTAGCACTGATTTAGGCTGACCTCAAAGATCTAATAGCTTTAAATAACATTAATATGTTGACAATTCTCAGGTTTTTACCTCCACTCCCAACCTCATCTCCTGCCTCCAGACTTGCATATATAATTGCCTATTTGAATGTCCACTTGGATGTTTAGTCATCAGTTTTCAAGTGTACCTTCCTGTCTTTTATTTCAGTGGACTTACTTCAGCCCTGGTCTTGACACAGGATGACAAATTCTGGTTAATGTGCATAATTCAAATATAGGTTGGTCTTTTTCTGACATGAACAATAAAGTAGATTTCCCTGGTTCATATATATAACTATATACAAACATAAATCTTTATATTTTAATTCCTTGTAGGTTTTCATTTGGAAACAGCCACCTCCATTGAAAACTTGGGTGCTGCTAACCAAATCTAACTTTGTACATGAGATCAGTTTAAATATTGCATATATAATTTAAAAATCATGATAGAGATTTCCATTACCTACACTTTACAGTAGGTAATGTTAGCTCCTTTTTGAGATAAGCTATTAAGCCTATAATTTCTTCCTTTTTAAAAAAATACCAACAAAGATCATTATTATTCCAAGAATATATTTCCTGGAATTCTCAAAGCACTCCCTCACTTGTCCTGCCCCCAGGGGATGTTTTATCAATGTCCATGTGAGAGAATTCTGAGGTCTGACACATCTTTAATTTAAATAACTGATGAAAAGGATGAGGATCTACAAACTAAATGTCACAGATCTAGCACAGAGCAGTGGCTATGGATAGTCCATTGCCTCTGGCTGTGCGAGGAAAACATTAAGCATATATACGGAAAATTTCTCTTATTTAGGACAGTTGTTTTAGATGCCCCCTGACTCCACACAAAAGTAGCCTCCCCCATTATCAACATCCCCTACCAGAATGTACACTTGTTAACAGATGATGAACCTACATTGACTTATTACCATCACCGGAGTCCATAATTTATAAGAGGTTCACTCTTGGTGTTGCACATTCTGTGGGTTTGAACAAATTCATAATGACAAGTATACATACAAAAAAATATTTGGAGATTTGGCTCATAAATCTGCCTAAGTAGAGAGGAAGTGACTGTGGGGACTGATGAAAAGGACCTTTGGTTTAAAAAGATGATTCTGAACTTTGACATGGGAGATATCAGAGACACAGAGGACATTTATGAAGTTATTGTGCCTTCACAGGTATAATGTAGTGTTCGAACCTTGACAAAGTCAGTAAAAATGACAAAAGATCATAAGCAAGATGCCACAGAATTTAATGACACTTGCACTGAGTATGAGAAGATGAAGGATTGTAAATGTTAAGATTTTAAGTTCAGGTTATCAGTGGAGCCATTGATACATAAGGTTGGCTAGAGATCATTTTAAAAATGATTAACAAACTAAAGATTGCATATTTAAATTTAAAATGGATATTTATGTAAAAATATACAGCAGGAAGTTGCAGGTGAGCCTGTGGTTTAAAAATAAAGGTAGTGCTGGGAGTTACCCCAGAACAGAGTTTACCCCCAGAACTGAGGTATCCTCATGAAGTACAATACTATAAATTAAATTCTCCTCTAGGGGGGAAAAAGAAATTAGAGAGTATAAATTACTTCTGAGGGGCATGTACCAGAATTTTATGGAGAATTACATGAAAATAAGTGCAACTTAGATCTAGACGGTAGTGACCTCACAAAGCCTATAGCTCTTTGGCTCATACTGAGTATTAACTAAAATATCATGTGTCTGGATCTGGAGGATTTAGACTTACCTCCCAAAGTGGCAGCATTGGCAAAATGTGGGAGTCAATCCAATCAACATAAGCTTACTAAGGATCCTCATTGGTTCCCAAAACTATACTTGGAATTATAAAATTTTTTTGAAAGTGTTGCCCTGGCTGGTGTGGCCCAGTGGACTGAGTGTCGGCCTGCAAATCAAAAGTGTTTTAAAATTGCCCTGGCTGGTGTACCTCAGTGGATTGAATGCCAGCCTGTGAACTGAAGGGTCACTGGTTCCATTTCCAGTCAGGGCACTTGCCTGGGTAGCAGGCCAAGCCCCCAGTTGGGGGTGTGCAAGAGGCAGCTGATGGATATTTCTCTGGCACATTGATGTTTCTCTTCCTCTCTCCCTGTCTTTCCCTCTCTCTAAAAAATAAATGAATAAATAAAATCTTTGTTAAAAGTGTTTTAAAATAGATCCTGATGTTAAGGGCTTTTTAAAATCAGGTTGTCTGAATGGCTGTTGGCTTGCCACTTGTGGTTTGCAGTACATTCAACATTTACTATGCTCTAGAAAAGAACAACTGGCTGTGATGAAGGCAGAATTTTGAGGGTGCTGAAATAAGTAATGTGTAAAAGAAACCAAAAGAGAAACTAGAAACTCAATTTTAGACAAATAGATGGCAATCTTATTAAATTGTATTTCAAAATAAAGAAGTCTACCTAAGGTATGGGCATATCTGGAACAAAAGAGTAATAACTGCCTAAGATTTAAATTACGAGCCTAATGAATTTTTAAAACCATCTTTCCAATATATGAAAATAAAATAAACTGATGGGGGGAAACATCATCTTAATTGTCTCATGATCTTCCATATTTATTCTCCTAAATATTAATGATTGCATTATATTAAACTTGACTTTTGAATCTCTTAGCAGTTTCTCACAATAATACATTCAGAATTTTCTTTAGTGCATCCTTCATATCTTTGTTCCGGAAGTTGTAGATAAGGGGATTAAAGAATGGAGTTGCCAAAGCATAGAACAAGGTCACAAATTTCTGCATGCCAGGATGGTCTCCCGAACCTGGGCTAACGTACATCACCATAACTGAACCATAGAACAGAGACACCACAGCAAGGTGGGAAGCACAAGTAGAGAAAGCTTTATGCCTTCCTGAGCCTGAGGGCATCTGTAGCACCACACCTAGGACACAGAAGTAAGTGCCAAGGATGTACAGAAAGGTAAGAAAGATGATGAGAGAGCTAATGACACCACAGACTAGAGTAATTCCAGATACTGGAGCACAGGACAATGCCAGCAAAGGTGCCAAATCACAGAGAAAGTGGTCAATGGTGTTTGGACCACAGAAGGGCACCTGAGATATTAGAGTCAAAGGAGTCAGTAAGCACAGAAAGCCACCTGTCCAGCAGAAGACCACTAACTGAGCACATAAGCGATGTGTCATTATAGTGGGATAGTGCAAAGGCCGACAAATGGCAAGAAATCGATCAAACGACATCACCGACAGAAATAAGCCTTCAGCAGCACACATGGAGAAGAAGAAGTAAAACTGGAGCAGGCAGCCAGAGTAGGAGATGCTCTTGTTCTGAGAGATGATGTTGGCCAACATTTTGGGCACATCAGAACTGACATAGCAAATCTCCAGGAAGGAGAAGTTAGCCAGCAGAATGTACATGGGTGTGTGGAGATTCTGGTTTGACCACACAGCATAGATGATGGCTATGTTCCCCAGGAGGGTCAGAAGGTAGGTGAAGGAGAAGAGCACAAAGAGGAAGATCTGGATGTCTCTGCGGCAGGGGAAGCCCAGGAGGATGAACTCACTCACAAACCCAGAGATGTTAGTAGTCTCCAAAGTCCTCATTAGTCTGACCTGTGAAAGCAACAGAGACAGTAAAAGCCACATAAATATTTACACAATTTTTCTTCCTCCTGGTGGAGAGATATGTTTATTTTCCTCAATTTGGGTTTGTAGTATTACTATATTTCCTTCAGAAGGTGAGTTGTTCTTTCCTCTTTGTCTCCTACATGTATTCAATAAACATTTTTGCTCATATTACTGCCAACCACTGTTCTACTAAATAGGTGGTGGTGGGGGGAATAATGAATTAAAAAGCAGAGTCCTACTCTTTTAGAGCTTATGTCAAACATCTTTAGTTCAAAACAACTTCAAGCAATGCAATGCATTCATAGCTATAGAACAGGAATGTCAAACTCATTTTCACTGGGGGCCACATCAGCCTCATGGTTGCCTTTAAAGGGCTGATTGCAATTTTAGGACTGTATAAATGTAACTACTCCTTAACAGTTAAGCGAGAGCTCAGCACTGCCCCTGGGTAGAAACAAGGTCCTGGGCCGGATAAAACAAGGTGGAAGGCCAGATTCAGCCCTCAGGTCTTGAGTTTGCCACCTGTGCTTTAGAATTTCTGTTGAAAGGGAGTTTAAGAGCTTAACTCTGATGGAAAGAGATCTAAGGAGATTTACCTTGGAACCTCCTTTGCCTAGAAAGGGAATTGCTTTTATTTAGATTTTCTGTGTGTGTGGCAACTGCTTGGGGAGCTGATACGAACATAAACTGGAAGTTACCATCCCTCCATCTTCATCGTGGTGCTACCACTAACACGGTAAGAACAGGATATGAAAAATCAGAACAAAGTGTTGTTGCCATATGAGACATGAAGATTATACTCATCTGGACAAAATAATGAAAGGCTTTTGAGAGGGAGATGGACCTTGGCAAAAGACAGAATTTTCTAAGGGCAATCACTGATGGAGGAAGAACATTAATAGCATATAATGTAAGCATAAAAGTTTTTATGTTTTCTTTTTTTTCAGTTGTTCAAGTACAGTTGCCCCCATTCCCACCCCCCACCCCCCACAATGCCCCATCCTCACCTCCCACCCTCAATCCTTCCCCACTTTGGCTTTGTCCGTGTGTCCTTTATACATGTTCCTTGAATACCCTCCCCCTATTTTCCCCCATTATCCCTCTCTCCCCTTCCCTCTGGTTACTGTCAGCTTATTGTTTATTTCAATGTTTCTGGTTATATTTTGCTTGCTAATTTGTTTTGTTGACTACGTTCCACTTATAGGTGAGAGCATATAGTATTTGTCTTTCACCACCAGCATATAAGGTTTATGGAGCTGCCTTTGAAAGACAATTTGCCAGACAAGTACAGGCTAATGAAATTAGCAGGAAACCATTAGAAAGCTATTTCAATAGTCCAAGTAAAAAAAAAAAATTTTTGAATGCTGACCTAAGGTAATGTATAAGCAAAAAGATACCAAGGATGGATTCAAAACATGCATAGAAACCTAACCTCTCAGTCTTTACAATAAGCAGAGGTAATTAAATGCTTCTCTTAGAACAGAGGGGAAAGACACACAAAACAGAGACCTCACTGTCCCTTTGCCACAGTAATACACTTTAGCTCACTTCTGATTGTCCTATCCCCTGGAGTGACTCAGAGGGGAGAGCCACTCCCAGCACAACAGTCTGCTCTGAAGGCCTTCTGCTCCCACACATCAGTGTGCTGAAGAGTGCGTTCCCCAGTCCCCTGCTTTCTTTCTGATTCTTTGTAGTCTGAGTATTATATTTTATTAAATAAATTACCTTCTACTTACGCAGTTTTCTCCTACAAGCCACACATGATGGGTGTTGATTTGCTATGCCATCAACTATGTGAAAGAGAACAGTAAACAAGAGTCATCTAAATTATTGCCAAGTTTTAACAAAAAATTTTGCATTTTCTTGTCAGCTAAGAATACAATTCCTTTGAAGATGACCTGCAAAAACAAAATGATACTTTAATAAAAAAAACCTCCTTAATCACATATGTAATAAAGTTTCTATAATTAGAAGTGTTTATACAGGAAAATAATTGTGAAAATTTATGCTCCTTTTTCTTGTGAATATATCAAACAAAAAGGACAGTCAGATATAGGAAAGAAGTTACTGTTCCATCTGCTCAAACTCACATACCCTAATTCAATCCGTGAATCTGAGATGTCAGCTACATGGTAAAAATAAAAAACCTTTTGACTGCTTTCTTAGCATCCTTTGGATCCCTTTCAGGTTTTACTCAGAAAATAGAATGTGCCAAAAATCTCTCCATCCCCTATTATTTATCCCTTCCAAGCTATGAAACCTATCTCCGGAGACCTCAATCCCAGGAGCAATGAAGACAACATATATCATACAGACTTGAATATGTCTCATCTTTAGTGAGTATCTTTTGGAGATAAAAACCACATGAATGTACACACACTCATATGTACTCTCACACACAAACATAGGTACATGCATGCACATATATACATATTCTAGCCTAACATTTCCAGAGCTGCCCTCTCCCAACCTTAATAAATTACTTATAAGCTAACAAAGATGCATCATTACCTTAAAGCTTGTTAGAAATATAGTCTCCCATTCCTGTTGTCCAAACCGCAGTTTACAGAGTTCATCCAAGATATCCAGAATGAGCTTATTCCCAGATATCCTCAGAATTACCCCCATTGTTTACAAACTCCTTATCTCTATATATGGATCAAACAGGATATATGCTGGTCAGCCAGGAAGTTAAAACATTGTGTGAGAAAAAAAATTCCTTTCAAAAATGCATTTTTTCTAAGCCTTTCTTGCAGTTAGGTCTGTTCATATGTGACTGAGTTCTGGTCAGTAGAATATAATTAAAACTGATGTGCAACACTCCAGGCCACACCCATGCATGGTCCTTGATGATCTTTGATATAATCGAGCATGTGACTTAGGAAGCTGAGGTGTTTTGTGTTTTTTGTTTGTTTGTTTTTAAAGATTTTATTTATTTATTTTTAGGCAGAGGGGGAGGGAGGAAGGGAGAGCGGGAGAGAATCATCAATGTGTGGTTGCCTCTTGCACATCCCCTACTGGGGACCTGGCCCGCAATCCAAGCATATGGCCTGACTGGGAATCAAACCAGCGACCCTTTGGTTCAGAGGCCAGCACTCAATCCACTGAGCCACACCAGCCAGCACAGAAGCTGAGTTTTGAAGAAGATGAAGGCAAAATGGAAAAAGCCTGAGTTCCGTAATTCTTTTATTATTGTTCTGTTGCAGTAGTCCCCATTTTCCCCCATTATTCTTCCTTGCTGTCCCCACTACTCCCCAGTCCCGCAGTCAATCCCCACCCTATCGTCCATGTCTATGGCCATTTATACTTGTTCTTTAATTAGATCCAGAATTATCACATGAAGAACAATCACTTGTCAATCAGGAACATCCATTTGGATTTTAAGTGAACAATAAATAAACACCCTTCATATTTGATCCACTAAAAAAGAAACTCATATGGAAAACAATCATGTGAATAAAATATTTACATTTTGATAAATGTAAAAAGAAAACTATCTGTGGGTGACTATATAAAAATATCTTTTCAGGCTTATTCCCTTCAAATTTAAAACAGCAGGGAAAATTAAGGAAACAATGTTTATGAAGGAATAATTCTGAGAAATAAAAATTTGAGTCATAGAGTGAGTGCATCTTAAATGTTGGTAAATGCGACCACATTCTCTCTAAATCTTTCAGCACTTTCCTCTCTACTGTTACTTTCGCTCTCATCTTAACACTGAGGTCTAGATTTTCATACTGTGCCGATGGCCCAGCCCTTCAAACTGGGGCTCATAAATGAATATAGCAACACTATCTCATGCCTGCATTATGATGATATCTGTCAGCATCAATTGAGAGAACATGTAATACATTCCTAGGTTTAAAACTCTCTTTTCATCCAAGGTAACTCAATGTCTACTCTTTTCTTCTTAATTTTTTTCTTTTATTGACTATAAAGAGAGGGGAGGGCAGAGACAGAGAGGGAGCGAAACACTGATGTGAAGAGGAACATTGATCAGTTGCCTCTTGCACATGCCCAGACTGGGAGCTGAACCTACAGCCCAGGTCTGTGCCCTGACCAGGAATCGAGCCCACAACCTATAGGTTTGCATGGTGATGCCCAACCAAGTGAGCCAAGCCAACCAGGGCTGAATGTCTACCCTTTTAATTGAATATCTCCCCAATTGAAATATCAAGCTGCTAACCTTGAACTCTGACAATGTTGATGTAAAATAGAGATTTCCTGCCTTGCCTCTATAACGTTCTAAGATATCAAAAGTATTTTCAAGGGGAATTGTGAAGTTCTCAAAAGACTGAGATGATACAATTAATTTGAATTCCTTTTCTCCTTAAAATGGATTGGATAGCTCACAAGATGTTTGATGAGAGAAGGAGCTATATTGTGACATTAAATAGCACAGACTCTAAACTTAAAGACACCAAAATTTTTTAAATGTAAATCTGATCACATCACTTCCTTGCTTTCAATCCTTAAATACTTCTTTCTCACATATAGGATCAAGTTCAACCATTTCAGTATATCCAAATTCCTACATCTCTAAGTTCATCTCCTCTCAGGACCCCCACATTCACTCTGCATTCATTTATTCATACATTAGGACTCTTCTATATGCTATTTCTTTTCCTGCTTGCCACAATATCATCCATGCCCCCTCCCTCCTATCTAGAACACTTGTAATTCAAGACTCAACTGAAATAGCCTCTTCGAACCCCTCTCTGATACTTCCCATTTACCGCATCCGCCAAACCTATAATCCTGTCAGACAGCTCTCTGTGCTCCTCTGGTACCTTATGCTTTCCTTTTTGTTGGTGTTTTTTATTGGAATTCTTGACACATCTGTGCCACCGTAAGTCAAGAGTCCTTTGAGAACAAGGATCCTATCATATACATCTATGTACCATCAATACCAAGTGTACTGCCTGGAACATGATTTGTGTTTCAGAAGCCTTTGCAGGCCCCAGAGTTTTTATGTG